AATGTAAAGGATAATTAAAGTTTGCAGCAGGATAATTATAATTCTCGTGAGAATTGTTAGATGTAATAAAATTGGAAAGATGGGATTGTAACGATAAATGTACATGATTATTAGATTGTGCAGGCAGTTGAATATTTGGTTGTTGATTATCAATTTGAGACGAATTAATTGCAATATTAGTATTGATATTAGTATTGATATTAGCGTTGGAAAGAGATGCTAACGAAGGAGTCCATGACAAAAATTCAACTGGGCTTGTTGGTGTGGGCGGAGGTGCTTGCGGTTGCGGTAAAGATGTAGGCATTATTGTTGTAGTGGATTGAGGGGGTATAATATATCTTGGGATATTATTCCAATTAGTTGTCGATTGTGTTGGTTCGTCGGAAGGCATTTGTGGAATTGTGATAATATCCGCAGTAGTTGGGATAATACCATTAATATTGGAAGAAAATTGTTGATTTTCCAAGTTTGTAAAATTTGGTTCGTTCATTGTCGATGAAAAAGTTGGAGTAATAGGGCTATCTGCAGGCGGCACAAACTCTAAAGTAAAGTTAAATAAAGATAAGATTGCATCCAAATCTGGTGGGTAAATTGAAAGTCCTGGTTGTAAATTTGCTGTTGCGGAAGATACTTGAGGAAGTGAGTAATCAGGCCATAATTTTTGTTCTGGTCCTCTATTATGTGCTCCACAACTACAATTAGGACATTGAGATTGATAATTTAATTGTACTTGTTCACCAGGAAAATCAGGCGTCAGCGGCGGAGAATTTTTGTTCTTGAACATCGGGTTGGCCAAATTTGAATCATTTTCCTCTTTTTGATCATGATTTGATCGTAAATCATAAACAGAGAAAGCGGATTCCATCGAAGCCTGTTTTCTATGTTCTATGGGAACTTGAGAGTCGTCCTTTGACTCAGAATCGGAAGTTCTTGCAGAATCTGTTGAAGGAGGAGATAAACTACATTTTTTACTATCTCTTTTCTTTGGTTTATATTTATAATATGGATATTTCTTTTTATGTTCTACGAGGGCCAAGTCAGCTTCTCTTTGGTATCGTAATTTAACTTCCTCAGATTCTTCTTTCCACATCTCCCCTACAGTTTTTGACGGATGACGTTCATCGGATGCACTTCGTGCTCTAGACTTGATTTTGGCGAGTTCCTTAGATTTAGTTTTATGATATATAATGAATGCATTCGGTGGTCTTGGAACATAGGATTTTGAAGAGGTTAATGAACCACCGTTTAGTCGGCGTTTCTTTGAGTTCTAAAAAAAAAAAAAAAATTATTTTTAATTATTTTCATTTAAAAAAGATTACAAAAAAAAAAAAAACAAAAATAAAAATATACACAAATATATAATTAATAATTACCCCTTGATATCCTTCTGGTGCCCATAAAAGTTGGCCTTTACTTTGATCAAAGGTTATCTCTAGTAGTCCACCGTTAACAGTGGGGAGTGGCGAAGATGTGGGATTATCAACAGAACATTGTTGATTTTTTCGAATATTTAGTTGATATTTTGACGTGTTAGGCACTTTCTGCCTTGTATCTGGAGAAGATTTTTGATTAGCAGTAATTAATTGAGACGATTTATCGGTTCTAGAGATTTTCGAAGCAGAGTCTTGTAAAAAATGTTGTTCAGGATTCGCCACATTTCCTTGGTCAACTCTGCAGGAACGCGATCCTTTTTGTTTAATTTCCATAGCAAAGACTGAAATGTAAAGAAAAAAAAAAAAGAAAAACGAATAAAGAGAAATACACGGCACTACTCTAAAGACACACCGATACCGTCTAACTCGGTGATTAAAAAATTAGTAAAGGTGGGAATTAAGAGGTTGTTTTAGAGAAAGTAAACGATCGATTTCTCGTTTTCGGTTATGCGAAACCGCTTACAATAAGAAATGTTATCAAAATCCTCCGCATATATATAGCGTTTGGATATATGTGTATAAATATATATTGTATTTTAAAAAAAAATTCTTTTAATTCTATAATAGTGCATGTGTGGTGTGTGATTGTGATTTTTTTCATTTAGTGTGAGATGTTGGTGGGTATCACACAGTATATATATAATCCCGATCATATGTACCCATATTATTACGTATATTGATTTAAAAAAGCACCCCAAAATTAAACTAATACTTATATTGAAACTTCCTTTTCCAGGTTAACATTTTGTACAGTAAACTAATTCCTCAGTAAACTGAGTAAATTGCTAATCTTTGATTAAAACTGAATTTTTTTTTCGGAAGCTATAAAAGAAAATGCAAAGTTAATTTACCCATTTTATCGTTTGTACTATTACTATGACCCAAGATACCTGCCTGCAAACTTAGTAGTTTCTTGTAATCCTTCTTAGTAAATTCCTGCGGTGATCCGATTTGGAAACTAATAAAAACAATGGCCTATCAATATTTCCCCTGTATATATGTTACACGCCTATATATCATCTATATATCATCTATATATCATCATGTATCATCTATATATCATAAAGTAATCAAGATAAAATTGAAATCGAACAGTTCTCTTTCAAAAAAACTTTTATTTATTTAATTTTTTACTTTTCACACATATATCTTGGCAGAAATAGATTGAATTTCTTTGTTTAAAAATTGTCACAAAATTTTAATTTACGGAATTAATAAACAGTTCCAAGAAAAAAAAAATGTAACTAAAAAAAAAAAAATTTTTCATTGGAGATTGAACCTTCTTAATCGAAACTTTTTAAGGTTACCCGATAGTAAAGTTGATTCCAAAAATAATTAAATTATTTAAAATCTGTACCAATCCAAACTCGCGAAAAATTTTAACTATTACTTTGTTTGACAGAGAGGAATTGCCGAAAGGACACGAGTTAATAGAAATTATAGTAAATTTAAAGTATTTTTCATTGTTTATATGTTGTGTTTCATTCGGAACCCCTAGAAGCCGTTTTTTTTTTTTTTTTTTTGAATTCATTACATTAGCCGCGCATGCAAGTATTGCAAGTATAAAATGAAAACAAACAAAAGTATATAGTAAAAAAAATGAAAAAAATATGACTAATTCAGGAACAGATGGCACAAGATAATTCAAAAAAGGGTAGGATAGTAATTCAGATGACTTTGAGAAAAGTGATGTGAATACATTTTATTATCTATTTTTTTTTTTTTTTTTTAAAATGAAATACAATTATTATAAATTATTGTAATTCAAATGTGATATAGTAATTTAAAATTAAGCATATTTAGTACTTAATTATTTAAACTATTTAAATTAATTAGCATCTCAAACTTTCACATGATGATTAAATTGACTGATTTTAGATTACAATTGATTTTGATATACTGTATTATTTATTATATATTAATATAAATTTATGTATGAGACATGATTTATAATAATAAAAATTACACAAATTATATATAATTTATATAATTTATTCTCAATAGATAAATAAATAAATAATAATTTAAATTTTGTTCGGTATTTTAATATTTTATTAAGATCAAATAAGATCAAATAAAGATCAAATAAGATAAAATATTATTAAGAATATTTATAATACTTGAACTTATTTACATATTTAAAAATACAATAAAAAATTAAACTTTTTACATAAATGTGATTTACTGTTCTCATCTGATTTATTATTGATTTATCGCTGATATATCGCTGATATATCGCTAATACTGTATATCCGGTATATTGCCGATTTTTCACTGAACCTCTATTTTAACGTAATAGTAACCTAGCATGACAGTGATGACAGTGATGACAGTGATAGCATTTATAGAATTGATAGCATTGATAGCATTGATAGCAGTGATAGTAAGGGGATAAGTTTATATAATAATTCTAAAACTCCGAATAAGATCACCCTGTACAAAATGTACAAAATAAATAAATAAATGCTAGGATAGTGAGGAAAAATAATGAAGGATACTTGTTTTTCATTTATAAATATAATAACCGAAATTATACAGGGTAAGCTGTAAAATGTATGAAAAAAGATTTATCAGCGCTAAATTACTAAAAAAGGATAAAAAAACAATAACGATAAACCCGTAGTATCGAGTATTGAAATTAAGCGAAAAATATACAGTAATTTCGGAAAAACGAACGCCTCGAAATACTAATATAACCATTGTAATCATTTATTTTTAAAAATATTTAAAAATAATATACCGCTACCAAGAATAATGATAAAAAAAAAAATTACGTAAATAACTGAATACATCTGATTGCTAAAATTAAAAAATCTTTGACATACGTACCCATTATAATGATCGACGTATCCATTATGTACATCAATGAATGATCAAATTACTTTATTTAGTTTTGCAATACCATGTATCATGTACAAGTATATCATACTTTCCCTTATAATCGAACAAAATACTAGTTATATAATTTAACCATTATTATCGAATAAAATATTAAATAAATGTAACGAAGTTTTCGCCTTCACCCCAGGATACCCTGCATTTTTCCTAAATAATCATTGTGTTTTTTTTCCAGTTATGACAGGCTGAAACTTTTTTTTTTTAGAAATATTTTGTTACCCAGTAAAGGAGATAAATTTAACCATACGATTAATTAATTATTGGCATAGTAAAAAGTTGTGAATCATTAATTTTATTCATTATGGTAAATGATCCGAGAAAAGAGGGTACAAAAATTGGTTCGAAAGCTAGAAGATAAAAACTTTGGAACGAATTATTTAAGCCAACATAAACTTTATGTCATATGATATTCCATACTTGGGCATGAAATTTTTAAAAATCGATACTTAACGTGCTTAAACGTGCCTAACGTGACGTGAACTATCAATGTTACTGGTGATTCTAAAGGAGTACAGATGAATTGAATAAAAAAGAGAATAAAAAAGAGAATAAAAAAATAGAATAAAAAAGAGCGTTAAATTGAATATTGAATATTGAAAAAGCTGTGTTCGAATGTATCGTTGCCAATGAGTAACTCTACGAATGTAACTCTACGAATCACCAATGAGTAACTCTACGAATTACCAATGAGTAACTTTGCGAATTACCAATGAGTAACTCTGCGAATTGCCAATGCGTAATTCTACGGATTGCCAATGAGTAACTCTGATGATTGCCAATGCAGAAAATATTCCTTAATAATACGGAAAAGCTAAAGATATATTCATTAAATATTCATAAATGTTAATTAACGATCCTTGCTTTTAATGTAATTAAAGGAACAAATCGTTCTTACATTGATTAATTAAATGTGTGGTGAAATTTGCTTTTGTAATAATATGTTCATATATGCTAACTTATTTTATGTGCTTAGTTAAAAGGACATGATCCAAACCTTAAGTAATGAAACTAATGAAACTAATGAAACAAAAGGGTTTTATTAATCTTATTAATCGTTGCGGTAATTGGTAATTGAAAATTGGTAATTAATAATTGGTAATTAATAATTGCATTAAGAGATTTTCGAACGTGTATATATTTTTAAAGATAATTTAATTTTATTTCCGGGGTAAATATATTCTATTTTGAATAATAAATGGTTCTAATAGATGTTCGATAATTACCGGTAGATTTTAATAAAATAGATTTTCAATAATAGATTTTCAATCAATACGTAATAAATGTTTATGTTTTAATCGGAAATTTATTACCTCCATGGGTTAAAAGATTTGCATCATTATACTGCAATATTTAAATAAATTGTTATACAACATAGAGTTTAAATTTTTTAATCCATATAATTTGTGTTGTCATAGGCGTAAGATAAAAACAAAAGATCATTTTAGAAATATCCAAGAATTCGTTTTAACGTAATATAATATAATAGATATAATAGCATAGTATACGATAGCGTTGTAATAAAATAATGTAATATATCATAATATTATCTTTCACTAGAGTATTTATATACAGTAGATGGTGCATACG